GCTCTGCTGAAGAAGGAGGAACAATCGCCTCCTGTACCAGTCAGATCCAATTTGACGGTACACACGTAAAAAGAATAAATAAATAAAAAATTATAAAAAATATTTAAATTGGTTCTGGGTATTAAATTATGTACCTCTTTATTGTTCTCCCTTTAATTGAAATAAAAACTAGACTCAGCAATGCAATGGGTTAGACCATAAGTGCCTGATGTGATGCTATGATTTAAAAAGATCCAGAACCATCAACTCTGGATAGCAGAGAAACAGCATTTTTTATGCGGATGGTGTTCTCAGAGACCAACAGCAGGCCCTTTATATTCAGTAAGAACAGTGAGATCTAGCAGAGGGGAGGGGACAGTCACACGAGGGGAGCAGTGAGGATGCGAGCTCGATGGTTCTGTCTCGTTCTGTCCTAACCTTTAAGATTTGCTAGTGTTTCTTTTTTGACATCTCTTCTCCCTAAGTAAAGGTGTGCATGTACACAAATACACCATGGCAGCATGACACCGTTTCTTGGAATTTTACATACCTGTCTGGAAGATGATGATGACCCACTTGGGAACCGGCATCTCTCAGGATTTGGCTCTTGTGCCCTCAATTGTTCTTGCTTCTTCTCAAATGAATCTCTTTTGTATTCCTGTCGTCTCAGACAAGCCTAGAGAACCAAATTGTTTCTTTGTCTTAGATACACAATGACCTTGGACAACTTGCTCAATTTCTGCTGTAGAAGATGAAACAAGATCTAAGTCTCCAAGTGCTCATCAGACATCGGCCACCAAATATAAAGACATTCTCCCAGGTATTCTTAACTCTTCCCTCCGCAGGTCAAAAATATTGGTCACTGCTTTAATAAAGCCAAATGAACACTCGTCAATCATTTACCCAAAACTGCTTTCTCAAGGAAGGTAAAACCAGACACATCTTATTAACTTCTCTTTCTGGTCCCCCTCCCATCACAGCTCTTCATTCATACCCATCACCATTTTTACCCTGATTACAGACAAGATCAGGATTTTCATATCTACGGTGTTAGCATATACTGTTTTCCTCAACCTGAAATACTTTTCACAAGGTGTCCTCCTGGTAAATGCATTAAGGACCAGCTCATGACCTCACTATTCCTCCCCAGGCAGGATTAATTGCTCCTTTATACACAACTTGAATCATACTGATTTCTCATTGTTATATTCTGTTGTTTTACTTCTGAGCCTGTTTCTCCCACTGGCCAGTGAGGACTTTGGAGGTAAGGACCACCTCTTATAATTTCAGTCCTCCTAACAGCAGCAACTTTGCTACTCAAGTTGCATTTTTGAGTTGGCAATCGTAAGATGCAAAATGTTACCGACAAAAAGAATTTCCCTCCATTCTTCAATGATATGGAAAAGGCAATTTCCAATTTCATCTGGAATGGAAAGAGATCCCAAATAAGCAAAGCACTCCTTAAAATGAGAAACATCTCACCCCCTGATATCAAATCCTACTACACTGCCGTGATGGTCAAGATAGGATGGTAGTGGTACAATGACAGACACATAGAACAATGGAATAGAACTGAGAAACCAGAATCAGCCCACCTATCTATGGTCAACTGATATTTGACAAGGAGATGAAATCAGCTAAGCGGGGAAACGGCAGCCTTTTTAACAAATGGTGTTGGCAAAATTGGAAAACTATCTACAGAAAACTCAAGCAAGATCCACACCTCACACAATGCACAAAACCCAACTATAAATGGATCAAGGACCTAGGACTAAAACCAAGGACTATAAACATCATTAGCGAAAAGCTTGGAAGAACCCCAGAAGCACTAATCCACAACATGAACAGTCTTCCAAGTATCCTGAAAAACCTACAACCAGGAGAGGATAAAATAGATGAATGGGACCGTGTAAGAATCAAATCCCTATGTCCATCAACAACTTCTCCAACAGGGTAAAAAGGAAAGCCACGCGCTGGGAAAGAATTTTCAGTAATTAAATGTCTGTAAGGGTCTTACATCTAGAATTTATAGAATACTCAAACACCACAAGAAAAAGGTAAACAACTCAATCGTAAAATGGGCACAGGATATGAACAGACACTTCACCAAAGAAGACATTCAGATGGCAAACAAACAAATGAATAAATGTTCAAAATCCCTAGCTCTGAGAGAGATGCAAATCAAAACAACTATATTATCTTACCCCAGTAAGAATGACAAAATTCAACAGAGCAGCAAACAACAAATACTGGTGAGGCTGTGGAGAAACTGGGACTCTTATCCACTGTTGGTGGGAGTGTAAAATGGTGCAACCACTCTGGAAAGTAATATGGTGCTTTCTCAAAAAGTTGCAAATAGGGGGATGGGGGTGGGGTGGGCGGGGAGAAAAGTGCAACAATGAATGAATGGAAATCCAAAATCTCTGTAAATGCTCATTAAAATTATTAAAAAAATAATGAAGCTTAAGAAGAAAAAAAAGAGTAGTATACCTAAGGAACCAAGTTTATTTTAAAAATTCTATTATTTTGCTGAAACAACATTTTATATTTCTGAAGCAAAACAGATTCCTACCCAATAATTTCTACACATAATATTCAGTGACATTGGTGACTATTTTCAGTTCGTGTTAACATTCTCATTATTTCCCTTCTTACTCCACTCCCATTTAGTCCCACTGCCCCTAAATTTCTTTTCTAGACTGTAAATTAACTGTTGTCCATTCGAATTCATGTAGATGATTTGCAGAAGAGCACAATCCTCAAGGATGAATTTGTTTGTTTTTTAATTTTTGAAAGAATCTGGTATTTAGTTAAAAGTTGGTTTCAGGATCATTTCTGTCCAAGATTTAAAGAGTCTTGATGGGTCCAGTAAGTGTGCATTCTCTGAGAATTTGAGATTCTGAGGAACTGAGCTTTTTACATTCTCTTTTAAGATCAACTTGAATAGCCACACACAGGCTAGTGGCCAATGTCTTGGACTATGCAGTTTGAGATCTTTGTGTCCCTCATGTCTGCAAGGACACATGGACTTACAAAAGTCACAGTAGTTTCTTTGGAGAAACTGTGGATTGTTTTGTTTTAATTTATTTTAACTTATCACACTCTGTGCTGATTCTCATAGACAAAACAATTAAAATGCTTATGTTGGGTAACAGCCTTCCTCTTTCAAGCTTACCTTGCTGGCTGCGAGACTCAGGTGACCTCACTGACGTAAATGGCAGCCTGAGGTAGGGCTGGGCACAGCCAGCTCCTTCTTGGTATCAGGTGAACTGTCTACGCCTCCCTCAACACAACACTGGGTCCTTGTGAGGTGGTATCGAAGTATTTAGTTGCTGGGTTGCTGCTGGTGAAAGGATAATAATCCTGTTCCTACTAGTAGAGCAAACAGCGCTGTGGAAAAGTGAGAGCAAGCACACCTCCAGCTTCTTTTCTGATGAATTAACAGCAGTGGCATCGCCTATCTTTGTGAGGTCTGTCTGCCTGAGACAGTGTTCCTACCAGAAAGGGCACAGGCTCATGGACGATAAGAAGGCTTCGTGATCTCTCCCTTTAGAGAAACTTGCTGAGCGCCCCAAATCCTGGGCTAGTTTATATTCATCATCTTCCACAGGAAAGTCGGAGCTCTTGTCCTCTCTCTCTTCATGAAAGTCTGAGAGGATGAAATTTCCTGGTATCCATCAGGCTCCCATAGGCCAACAGCTACCTCAGCCCCAGGGATGGAACGACATTGAAACAAAGCTTTGTTTGTTAGTCTTTTAACAGATCCAAAGTGAGCTCTGGTGGTCTAATGGTAAGAAGCTTCCCTGAAAACCCAAAATGCAGGTAGTTTGAATCCACGAACTGCTCCATGGGAGAAAGATGAGCAATCTCCTCCCATGTGATTTACAGCCTCTGAAAACCTGCTGGATGGTCAGCTAAGAGTTGGTTCTGACTCAGCGGCAATTATCAACAACAAATGATCCAATTTCTTGACTTTGTGCAGCTTCTGTTTATTTCATGAACTTATATATTAAATTCTGATCTGATTAAACCATACAGAGAAGCATCTATAACTCTGAAAAGGATCTATAATGAAATTGCTCCACTGGATTCAACTTTAAAAATGTGGCCTGGGACTGAGCTGAGGGGAGAGCAGGTACTCTCGAAGCCTCAGAGGCTTCACTGATTCCTATTAGAACATCATTTCTAAGTATACTTGGACGTCAAAGCAATTTATAATGTACTCTGACATTAGTAGGTCACGTAAGGGTCTTCGGAGTCCTTGCAATGATCCCATGAGATAAGCATAATGAGAAGTTTCTCCTTGATGGGGAACTGAAGTGCTATGAAGTTAAGTGGTTTGCCTGGATTCGCAGTGCTAATGAAGGACAGAGCCAGCCCTCAGTAAGTACTCCTTTCCATTATGCCAAGTCACTAACTTAAGTGTATTTAAGGAGCGCCACTTTAAAGACCATCTCAGCACAGGCTTGACGGTGCATGCTTTACCGTGGATTTAGACTAAACCTCCACAATACCTCATTCAGGACCACTGGTCGTCAGGAGGAGACTGGTCCACAACAGAATGACCACCAGAGTAAACATGTATGTGGGACTCTGCCCACCTTGAGACAGGTATCAGGAAAGTTCAACTTGACCTAAGACCTGTGACTTGCTGGTAAATGCCTTGCTCTTCCAGGCCTGACTTTTGTTCTCACATTACAACTTGAGCCTATGTTAGGGAACAAAGGGATGGAAATGACAACACAAGTGCTGAAGTCCAGTAGGGGCATGGCCCACAGAGGAGCCCTCGGGGCACAACAATTAAATGTTTGACTGCTAACCGAAAGGTTCGTAGTGTGATTCCCACCCAGCATTTCAGCTAGGGAAAGAGCTGGTTTTCTGTTCTCAGCAAAATTATAGTCTAGGAGCACTTCTACTCTGTCATATCAGGAAATTAGAAGTTAAAAATTGACCTCAGAGCACTTAATCACAAGATACCTCACATAGTGACTTGTACAGCCAAAAATCTCCACAGAATAAATAATTCCTTTTTTCCCACCCATACAGTCAAATCACCACTCATCTGTCAGTGTGTTGCACTGTGGTGGCTTTTATGTCACTATGATGCTGAAAGGTATTTCAAATAGCAGCAGAGTGACTCAGGGTAGACAGGTTCTAGTGGGGCTTTCAGTCTAAGACAACCATGGAAGGAGAACTGAGGATCTACTTCTAAAAGAAACAGGTCAGTGAAAAAAATTTTATGAACAGCAGAGAAACATTATCTGATATAGTGCGAGAACACACGGTCCTCAAGTTCAAAGAACCTCTAAATAACAACTGGGGAAGGACTATCTTTTTTATGACATGCAAGGAGTAAAGTTTTGGGGACCTTCATCTACTGATATAGCAGATCCCAAAATGAAAAGCAGCAGCATTTGTAACAGAAACATGCAAAATATACGATTTTAGGAAAATGAGAATTGGTCAAAAATAAAATGGAATGCATAGAAAAAGCAATATCCAAGAAACTGGTGAACTAAAATTGACTGGTATTGTCCATTTTTGATCAATCACATGGTCTAACATTCTTGGAATGACAAATGGAAGAGGAATGGTGACACAGTCATTGTAAAAAAGATTTCAAGATATCCTCAAGTATAAGGCTATCAGTGACAGGACAATATTCAAACATCTATA